GTCCGGCATATCCTGTGAGGCCCGCACCTCCACGCACCAGCGGGCTGCTGCCACGCCGACGCGTAGACATGTGCCGGCCTCCCACGCCACCCAACATCCTATAAAAAAAAACCACCATCACTTGTTAGTAAAAAATCAAACGACATTCCCTATAAAAATTAGTTCTTTATTAAAACACTTTTATAAGAGAAATATATTATTAATACTTTAACATTTCGCAATATTAGTAAAAGCAAATGACGTAAATACAAGTTGGATGGAGGGAGTAAGCTCGATGCAAAATTAGCACATCTGATGAGGCGTGACAGATCGAACGAATATTAAGAAGATTGTAAGGGGAAAAAAGTAAAAACCGTTTCACCTTAATTGGGTTAGAACGTTGACTAGTCTAATCTCGAGGTATCAAGAACGCGTCCAAGTCACGCGATCCGCCACTCGCATGTTTGTTTAGAGAATTTCCACGAGATGTATCATCGATAGATTTTTTTTTCTTTCACAAGTTTTTACGCTGCTTCTTCGCGATCATAGTGTCAAGCGATACGAAAAGTTTTTCGTACACTTCTAACGTCAATTTCAACCGATATCTCAGCTTATCTCCGCCATATGGAAAAGTTTGATAAACCTTAATTGGTTTTTCACACCGACGCGAAAGAAACTCGAGATACGAGTTCTTTTTAATTCGCTTTGAATATAACCATATATAAAATCATCGACGAGCCACCACGATGGAATACCTCGATACTTGTCCCCACGATGAAATCAATTAAATCAACAATGAACTCGCGTATAAAACATATAGTTTAATTACAACTAATTCCTAAAAAATATTATATAATATATAATATAAGGATCTCATGTTTCCTTGACCGTCTTCTAATTCCTTCAAAAGAAATTCACAGAAATTAATTAAATTAATTAGAAAAATATTTTTAAAAAAGGATAAATCACGTAACAAAGATTAGACCGTGTTATAATCCGTGATAAATCTCGCGGCAAAAATGAAATAAATTAATAATTACTCGTTGAAACTAACTTATCCCCTTCCCATAATTTAACGCGGCTCCGTGCCAGTCACTATCGAAAGTGATTAAGCTCCGTATATAGTCAGACAGCGGCCTATCAAGCGGTTAAACTTCTTCATTTCATCCCTTGCCTAAGCGATTCTCAAACTTGGCGAAATATTCCCTCGAAAGAAATACCGCTCGATGGAGTGTGATCAAGCTTCCCTTCTCCGTTCAAATGTAATTAATCTTGGAATAAAAATTAGTAGAAAGCCTTTAACGTTCCCCCTTTAACCCGTCGTCGCGGGGAAAAGAAACCGGGTTTTAAAAAAAAAATATAATACTTTGAGAACCTTCCTCTTCTTCCACGCCCTTTAAAACTAGGCAAAGCGTCTCTCCGGTTAAAAATAATTCTCACTCTAATTACGAAAGAAGAACGGACAACGAAAAGAATTATTCTCTATGCCGATATCACCACCACCACCACCGTTTCAAACAGCGATTGTACATCAACCGACCAAGTTAAAATTGGCGAAGGTCGACTGATTATCCCGATGCCACAGCCTCGATAATTGTAATTTATAGAGAGGGATGGAAGGAAGGAAAGAAAGAAAGAGGAGAAGTAGTATGCCATAAATCCCATCCTCGTCCACTGTCGCCACGCAAACCCTTGTTATCCTTATGTATTTTTCCCTCAACTCACCTCCACAGTACGTTCCATTTATTTCGCCAACTTCGCTTCCCTTCCACGCAATCTTATCATGCCCGTTTGTCCTTATTACGTTTCACGAGTGTTCGAGCAGCCATCCTTTCGGCTTAAGAAGAAATCGAAAACGAAAAAGGGTAGAAATAATATCCCTCTAGATATTTCTTCCTTGCATTTCAATTCATCTTCTTCATTCGTCGTCAATTTTATCCGATCGATACACTTATTTTTCCAATTAAACAATCTTTTCGAAGCTCGAAAATTATACAACTTTATTAATTTTATATATATATATACATATATATCATGGAGTTAGTGATAGGAAAGAGATAGTGGTAGGAAACTATTGGAGGATCCACGGTGCATCCGGTAGCTTCGAAATCTCGTTAGCAGTTTCTTCGATTTCCGCTTTAAGTAAATTGTATCAAGGATCATCGTAGTATCATGGCGCGCCTCGAACACGTAATTGAACACACGATCGTTATCGCGGATAGAAATTGGGGATGATACGATTATACCTTTTCTTTTTTTTTTTTTAAAGAGTTTTTTAATTTTTAAGAGGGGAGAAGAATCATTTTTCGAAGGATGAAAAACTATTCGATTAGGACGCAACGTACCCGATGGAGGAAAGCAATACGTGATTTTCGATTCGATTCGATTCGATTCGATTCGACTGGCAGCAGGTAGATTGGATCGTGGCGCGGAATATTCATCGGCGATGATTTCCGCGCTAACAACGCCGCGCTGTCGTTATTTGCACGAACGAATTAATATCTGGCTCCGTCCATTTTGCCTTTACTGCACGAAATGAATTCCAATCCATTACGCGTGTAACCAACTTACACGTCCATCCATGTCTGAAAGCAATGGCCGCCAGTCATGGTTATCTAATCATATTTTTACGAAATTTATTTTTTCAATTTTTAATTAGCATCAAATTATGGTATCAAACACGGCTCAGGTTTATTAATCCCTGAACAAGTGACGATCGGATAATCGAAAATCTCCTTCCTTCCATCGCGTTGTAATTCGATACGTGCTTATCTTTTCAATCCATTCCGTGAAATTTCAATAAAGATACTAGCCTGCCTCGAAATTTATATCGAACATTCCTCGTGTTCAGCTTTCATCCGTCTAATCGGATACGCGGTTCTCTATTTCAATTGAAAATCTATTTGCACGTATACACTTCATATATTATAATATAATGTAATACAGATTGGTGTATGTTATAATTATAGTTATGTAAATTGTTATATTTTTCGAAAATCAGGAAATTATAGGAAAAAATATCCTC